TTAATGAACGGTCGTTGTTAATAACTACCCTCGATGAATTGGAGATACTCCTCGATTGAGTATTCGAGAGGGGATAAGTTATAGATATAACAAGGATCGACTAAAATATATCAACAAGTGGAAAGTAGCAAAGCCAAGTCCTTTTTTTTCTTGAATTAAACACATATAGGTTGTTCATCTTAGTTTTTAATTAAATTAAATCACTCAAACCAAAACCCCCCTTTTTATTCATTAAGTTCATAGAAAGAGAATTATACCTTTCCCTGTGGATACGAACTCTACTACACTATACTACGTATAAGTGTTTAGTATTGAATTTATTTTGACGCACCTTGACAAAAGTGCTCGTCAGTATGAAAAACCTATTTTAAAAATATGTTTTATTAATCAAATGTAGAAAAAATACACAAAACAAAGTTAAAATAGTCTTCTTCAATCAATTCAGCTAACTTTGTCGATAAAGTAAACCCACCAATACTTTTTAATTACTAGTTTAATTTGAGTTTTTGCTATTTTAGTCATCTGATTATTATGTCAATGACTCTTTTGATATTGTACTTTGAATTTTTTCACTTTTAGTCATTTGACTATAGTGCAAAAGAAACTTTTGATACTCATTTTTGAAATTTTTCATATTCATTTATTCGACTTTTACTGATTACAGTTTGTTCAAAACATTGTAAATTATAAAATAAAATGCATTATCATATTTAAATCTCAGAATTGGCTTTAAGTAATTCAAAAAATTTACAAATTTGAAATTACAGTTTTTTCAAAAAAATATTACTAATTATCGATCGAACATTACAAAAAATACAATTACTTGTGTACAAATAATGAAGTACAAATTACATACGTAGTAGTTCAAAAAACTTGTAAACCATATAAAAAAATATTACAATTTACAAGCTAACATGTAAGTATTTAACATCCCATATGAGCCAAATTAGAAGTTCTCAACTTGAAATTGCCAAAATCTGATTATCTGCATTTAACACGTAAAAGAGTATCAAATTCTACAAAAATTGGATCGGAGTATATCAAAAACATAATACTTCATGCAATTAAAAGGACTAATAAAACTAGAAAGAATGACATGAATATTATTCATGTAGTTTTAAGAAGACAAAAATATGAGTCTTTTTTGTTTTTCCAAAAATATGATTGACTTTCCAAAGCCCAAAGGTCACCCGTTACCTTACTTCTTTTATGCGGATCTCACCAGCAACTTCTCCTCAACTGGACTTCGCACTCATTGCCGCTGCAGAGTGCAGATCGTATCGCCACCACAGACCGCACCGTCGCCCACCACAGTCGCACCCTTTCCTTCGCCGTCCCCTTCCCCGTCGATTTTCTTCTTCTCCCCTTTCTGACAGGTGAGTGGGGAGGCGGATGGGAGGCGAACCGGCGTCATCGTCAGTGGAGGCCTTGGAGGCGAATTACAGAGTAATAACAATGTATATAAATTCATATCTAACAAAACAAGTAAATGAGTATATTAATTCAAATGACATACTTTATATGTGATACACATTGAATCAGATAATAACACCATCATAATTCTCTGTAGATAGGCGCTATAGTATATTGTGAATGAAGAATGCAATGAAAAACAGAATGAATCGACTCATTTATATGTAGAAAAACGTGTCAGGGAATTTGTTTTGCTTTGTCGCGGGCAAACATAAATGAAAAACATTTATGTTAGAACTGTCTAGAGCGAGACCAGTAGGAATAATATTTATTTTGCCTTGTCGCGAACTTTGTCACGGATAGGCTCGTGACATAACGAATATGTACAGCTGCGTAGTACCGCCAAAATCAACTTTAATTTGTCACGGACTTTTTCGCGGATTCATCCGTGACAAAAGGTAACGGCTGAAACATTCAAATTTTGTCACGGACCGACATCTTCTAGTTTAATTGTTCTTGAGTTACGGGTGCAAGTACTTCCTCTTCTGCTTCATCAGTTACCTTATTTTCATTTTTATGGATTACCGGGTCCATAGAACCAACGTTCCCCTCCTCATCCTCCTTAGTAAGCATAGATGAGACAAGATGATCCTTTCCTGTCTCCTTTTCTTTTTCGAGTTGGTTAAGCGTTTTACAAGTGAAAGCATGGTGACCATACTTCTTGCAATGAAAACACTAATTAGGAAAGATCTCGTAAATGATGAATTGTCTTCTATTCCGTCTACAAGGAAGCTTTATATCCACAAAGAAAGGAGGCGGTTTGCATGCATCCACTTCTACTAGCACTCTAGCATAATTTAACTTGTCTTCTCACTTGTAATCCCATCAGTGAAAATAGGTACTCCAACCCTAGAAGCAACCTTACCAATGGCTTTTTCAGTCCAGGTGTCCATCGGTAGTTGAGGCATTTTGATCCAGATTGGAACTTTCAAAAACTCCTCACCATCAAAACTAAAACCTGGTTGTAGGGTTTTCAGCATTAATAACCTCCCTAACACCATATAAGGCCCCTCCATTAGCACTTTTGTTCTATCCTCCTCAGTTTTAAATTGAAAATCGATCCAACCTTTTTCATGTGGCAGCAGTTTGCACCTAACTCCCCAGGTATCCATCAGTTTGTAGATTGCTCTCATACCTGGGAATGTACTAGTGAAGCACCCGACTAAACAGTACCCCCAAGTAGAAATGATATCACCCACTGTTCCATCTGATAGGTCAACATAGTCTCCCTCTGGTGGGATGTATGTTACCTTCATTCCTTTATTGGGAGTTTGATTATCTTTAAACAAACTCACCCAGGATGTTTTTGAACCTTCTCCGTTCTGTTCAGACCTACTTACAAACACCTGACATGCATCATTCTCTTTACCTCCCCAATTGCTAATTTCATCCGTTTGTGGGTTCTCGGCTACCTCCTCCATACTTCCTTCTTCACCTTTACCATGTTTACATTCAGGTCAACTTCCATTTTCTTATTCCCGTTGTCCGTAGTTGCTATTATTACAACACATTTGTCATTGGAGGAACCATCTTTTCCACTCTGTGCATTCTTTTGGTTCTTCCCCATCGTAGGGGGGAAGAACTCAAATGCCTAAACACCAAGAAGTTCTTTTCGGCATAAAAATGGCGTTGACTCACCTAACTGGCATCCAAGAAGGCAGGTGACTGTAGACTTGGAGAAAGGAAGCTCTCATACCAGTTTTGTACAGCAGCATATCCTAAACCTTATCAACGCTACTAATACTTTTCACCCAATCACCATACTTGAATCCCTCGATCCCATGTGTGAGTCGTGACTAACCATTCACCTCTCCCAAACTTTTCACTAATAATTGGTCACAACTCACTTTCCCCGGCCTAAAGCTTGCTATAATTGCTTCTTTCTCTGGCTATTTCAGAGTATTCCCCGCCGCAAATCAAATAAACCTAAAATTCTAGGGGCTGGGCATATCTGTTTCGATTAGGTTTTATGGTTTCGGTTCCATTAGATATGGAACAAGTTGGGAGAATTATTATCAAACAAAAATCATACTCCATCGGTCCCTAAATAAATTTCAAACTTTCTTTTTTCCTTGGTTCCAATTAAAACTTTAACTTTCCCTTTTTGGTAAAGAATTTGTGATTCACAACATTTCTTACACATTTCTCTCTCATCTGTACAACTCTCCACCACACAATATCCACTATCTTAAACTTTGTGTCAAACCCATTTGGAAGTTAAAATGGGAACGGAGGTAGTATTATTTTTCGGTTTAGTTCGCTTTGGTTCAGTTTGGTATTCTTATTTTTTAATAATATAAGAAGATTTTATTGAATTTCTTTAGTTCGGTTCGGTTTTGTTCGATTTGTATCTGTTTCGATTCGGTTTAATAAGGTTTGGAAGAAATATTACCAAATTCAAACCAAATTACATACTCTATGATTCAATTCGATTTACTTTGGTTTAGTACGATTCTTGTTAAACGAAACCAATATGCCTACCCTACCTAATTCTATTGGAGATTGTGTTTTTATTTGTTAATGAATGAAATTTTCTAATTAAAAGTCTTAATTCGTGAAATATGATCTAGTACATGTGTACTTTATGCATACTCCCCCCGTCCCTAAAAATACTTCCAACTTTCTTTTTTGAGCGTCCCAAAATAAACTTTCATTTTCTCTTTTTGGCAAAAAATTTGTGGTTCACATCAATTCTTACACATTTCTCTCTCCTCTGCACAACTATTCACCATACAATACTCACTATCTTAATCCGCGTGCCATTTGTACTATGGAAGTAAATTAAGGGGCGGAGGTAGTACTTTATAATGGTTGCAACATTGGAATTTATGCACTATTCACACACCTTACTTTGACTACGATTTTCTAATAATATACTCCCTCCGTCCCTAAATTATCTTCAAACTTTCCTTTTTCGTCCGTCCCAAAATTATCTCCTCTTCCCCCTTTTAGCAAAAAATTTGTGGTTCACAACCATTCTTACACATTTCTCTCTCCTCTGCACAACTCCCCACCACACAAATCTCACTATCTTAATAAATGTGCCCAGCCGAAAAGGGAGAAAGATTAGGGACGGAGGGAGTATATAATAATAATATTATGTACTCCCTCCGTCCCGTTGGAATGTTCCCGCTTTCCTTTTTTGGATGTCCAGTGGGAAAGTTCCCATTTCTCTAAATGGAAAGTTATCCTACATCAAAACAGGGTCAAACAGTGCAAAACAGTGTCAAACAGTGTCGAAACAGTGCCAAACAGTGTCGAAACAGTGTCAAAACAGTAAAACCGGGAACATTCCAACGTGACAGAGGGAGTATAAAATATTAATAAATTTGTATTAATGTAAATTTTCAATATATTAACTTTTTTTAATGTTTACTAATACGTAAATAAATATAATTACAGTCAAATTTCGAGTTGTCCAACGTGAAAGTAAAAGTGTTGCAATTTTTATGGAAAGGATAATAATATGAGGTAAGTGTGTTCATGAACTTAAATCAAAGTAAAAATATCACTTTATTCCCCTTCAGCTATGCAAGGCCTGCGTTTCCACGACTAAAACATACATGAAGGAAGGAGATCGAGCCAGATGATTTATATGAGGGGCGGATGTATTCCGATTCGTAAAATGTGGGCATTTCTGATATTGCTCTATCTGATTCTCGTAGCTGGTGTACAAGGATCGATCCATGAATATAAGAACGAGGCTTTCATTCCTCGCTACAATTCATTCTTCTTCCATGGTGGCAGTGAGGGGCTCTATGCTTCCAAGGTACAGGAGCAACACTCTCCAACCCCCCTTTCCGAGGAGAGCAATAAACCCCTCAATGGCAAGTCATTCATCAGGTATCATAGATTCGGTCCCCACCCCGGTGAATTGTAGTTATCCTTCATTTCACATTTGACTTATTTTCCATCATTCTTTGCCCGTGGCATTGCTTCAGTATAATCGACAGAACTTTCTGCTTCTTTTGCGTGCTTGTTCACACTTATCAGCTTAAGAAACACTCTTTTATTATCTACTAGATGGTGTCTAGAAAAGGCATATACGGTTTCCCTTTAAGTCATAGGTGTAAATATGTAATTGATAATTTGGTATTATAACCTAGAGCATCCTCAATTGAGAGTCTTGTGATTTTAGCATTTTCAATCACATAATTTGATATTATAACCTACATCATCCTCAATTAAGCCCTTAGTTGATATTCAATCAAATAATTCGGCCCATATGTTTATGTATATTAGCTCTTCTGTTGTGGATCTTAGTCATTGATTGGGCTTTATGGGACATTCAATTCCACACTACAAAACTTCACATCTTTTCAATTATTTGAGTACTTTGTGAGCATTTCAAGCAATTGGGTTGAAGGGTTTACTAATCATATCCCTCATTGTTTCAGATTTGAGTCTATTACCTTTAAAAGGTCAAAAGAGGCTGCGAACAGGCAAAATGCAATGCAGCACAGTACAGGACTTGTTGAAGCCATTATTCTGGACGTCAAAGATAGGGATAGAATCGGTGGATACTACCTGAACTCTGATGCAATATGTTGCACACCGGATCTTGCCAAGGATGGATCCTGTAAGGTGGGTGAGGTAATCATACGCCAAGATCCTGAAAACCCTGGATGGCCTAAACGGATCCAAACTTCGTTTGAGGGAAACAGCGAAGAGGCTAGTATGATGCTACAAACCACTGAGATCAACACGACTGGAATGTATTATTTGTATTTCATGTTTTGCAACCCGGAACTAAAGGGAACATTGATTAGTGGAAAGACTGTTTGGAGAAACCCAGAAGGTTATTTACCAGGGAAGATGGCCCCGCTTATGACATTTTATGGGCTTATGTCTTTGGCTTACCTTGTTCTAGGTCTCGTTTGGTTTTTGCGCTTTGTGCAATACTGGAGGGATATAATACAGTTGCATTACCACATCACTGCTGTTATTGGTCTGGGGATGTGTGAAATGGCTCTTTGGTATTTCGAATATGCAAATTTCAATTCCACAGGAAGCAGGCCAATGGGAATTACCATTTGGGCGGTTACCTTTAGTGCTATCAAGAAAACAGTCTCAAGGCTACTTCTTTTAGTGGTTGCAATGGGTTATGGTGTTGTACGGCCCACCCTTGGAGGTATAACCTCAAAGGTATTGCTTCTTGGTGCAGTATACTTTCTGGCTTCAGAAGCTCTTGAGCTTGTTGAGCATTTGGGAAATATTAACGACTTTTCTGGAAAGGCAAGGCTCTTCTTAGTGTTGCCAGTTGCATTGCTTGATTCCAGCTTCATTGTTTGGATATTTTCATCACTATCAAAGACTTTAGAGAAGCTTCAGGTGCGGATACTGCACCTTTTCACACACACAAACTTCATGCATTAAATACCCTCTGGGGTTGAAGTTATTTGGCTGAAATGTCTGCATATGTAAAATTTTCTGAAAGGAAAAGTGTCTCGTAACATCCACTTTACCCATAGCTACTTCTTCTGACTATTCTGACTAATGATACGAAACAGAACCTAAATAGTTAAAATGGAAATTATTTACTACTTCCCTCTACACTGATGTCTCTAATTTGAATGAATAGTTCTGTTCACATGAATTCGGGAGGGAAATTGGAGAAAGGTTCAAACATTTCAGTTAATTGATCATTTTTACTCATGTGGAATTCAGGTTCGGAGAAGCTTGGCGAAACTTGATCTGTATAGAAGGTTTACCAATGCTCTTGCCATTTCTGTTCTGCTTTCTGTTGCCTGGATTGGCTATGAGGTTTCCTCCCCACATCTATTTCTCATCTCTTTTCTCAACTAATGAAACTCTTACCTCATTTCACGCCGTCAAGTAACTACTAATATTATTAGTGTGACTTTGATCTTATAACATACCAGAGTAATTTTTTAACACTCTTACCTTGCATATGTAGGGGAATAGTGGGACTAAACGGTCTAAACCTAATAGGAAACCTAATCGCTAAACATAACAAAATTAGGAAACTACAGTAATACTATTAAGGCACATTACAACAATAACAACATCCAAGGCTTAGTCCCAAAACATTTTGGAGTCGGCTAACATAAGAACTATTTTCTTCCTCACATAATTTATTAAGGCACAGTCTGGAAGTAAAATATGACTTAAGTGCTCACACAATCTTGCAGGCAGAATTATTTCCTTTCTCTTATAATGCCTTTTAATGCTCTTTCACCCACCTATGAAGTATACAGAGTATAATGATCTTACAGTATCAATCTTGTAATATACATGGCTAGTACTCAAGTACTATCTCATACTCCCTCCATCCCATAAAGGTTGGCCAATTTTGACTTGCACGTGGAATAATAAAGTTAAAATTGTGTGTTTAAAATTTGTTTAGGGGAGAGACAAATAATATGAACCACAAAATTGTTACTTTAAAAAAATGGCAAGCTTTTTTGGTTTTTTTAGATGGAGTATCATTCTAGAATCCTTTTATCTTTCATTAAAGTGGAAATAACATATGATAGTGGTGGTTTTGATTCTTTTGTAAGAAGGGTGTGACAACAGACGAGGACATTCAGCATTAAACTGTATCATAATGTTGTTTTCATGAACTTAAAGTGATAAGTAATACTTCCTTTGTTCTTTTTTAGTTGCAACATTTCTATTTTCACGCTTGCCAATACACAACTTTGACCGTCATTATATTTAATTCTCTATTAGTAAAAGAAGTTTAAAAATCGGATTATGAAGGTTTGTAATGAGACGAAATCAACAATATTTTTCAAAAAAATAATTCTCATACATGAATAAATAAAATGTAGTCAAAGTAGAGCATGCGAATAGTGTAAAACTTTCCATGTTGCCACTTAAAACAAATGCAGGATAGTATTAGAAATCTACACTAGTTTTAAATGTTTCCAACCCTGACATGGTTGGGATTAAGTTGATAGAGGTGATGCATTTTTTAAATTCTAAGCATCTCTTACCTTCTTCTCTTTTCATTATCATTTATTCTTTGGAAAGGGGTGGTGGTGGGGAAGTGAGAAACAATCAATTATAATTTATAACACTAGCACAAAACCACTTTCTTTTTTTTCTAACATGTATACTTTTGAGTTTTAATGAATCGTAATGACAATGTTTCTCTTCTTCTGGTTTTTTGTATAGTTATACTTCAATGCTAGTGATCCTTTGAGTGAATTGTGGAGAAGGGCATGGATAATTCCAGCTTTCTGGATATTATTAGCATATTTTCTGTTGGTGTTGATATGTGTTCTTTGGGACCCATCATATAACCCTACCAGGTACTGGGGAGTTTAATGTTCTATTATTTACAACTAGTAGACAATACAATGCTTTTTATTTATAGCTCACTCATTGGGCAATAATGCATTAACTTCCTGTGTGCTAGATTTACCTAGGCCCTGCACAGGCGCTGAACTTCCTTGACCATCCCCGACATTTTTTCATATGGAGTACCCCACATCGATTGTCTCCAGAAGACCATTTTAGAGTGGGTTAGGCACAATTTAATTGGTGTGGGTTTGGTGCTGGTTCTTGGGGAGCCTTGCCCATTCATTGGTCTGAGGCAACTTGTTTGGGAGTCGTTTGGACACATTTGTTCACCCCTTCAGTTGTTTTATTCTGCTTGGTCTGAGTTGGTATTTTGAGTATTCAAGTATCCCACATTGGCCATCGATTACGCTATTTGGTTTGAGTCTAATCCCTCATGAACATCCTTTTGTGTGGGTTAGACTTAATTTAACATTTTAATCTCTGCTAGTCTACCCTGCTTAGATTTTGATTAAGTCCTTCCTAAATCCACCTAGGTATTAGGTCCCCAGAAAGATTGTCTAACACATTTTCAGAACCCTCAACCCTGCAATCGGGTGATAGAGAAAGTGTGGATAGCCCTTGGGACCTTAGGGTGGAGCTCATTATATTTTGTATTATGAAATATGTGGAGCTGATTTCAATCCATATCCGTGCAGATATGCCTACTCAGAAGAAACAGGTGATGATGAGGAACAGGTATTATCCCTGACTGCCAGTGGAGTAAAAGTCGTTGGAGATTTAGCAAACAAACTGGAAAGAAAGGAAAGGAAGGGATCAATTACTACAGATCATGTGTTTGGAATGGCAGAAGTTGTTGAGGAGGACAAGAGAGAATGAATGGTGATCTTCTTCTTCATTCAAACACAACAAGATTAGAAGTTACAGGAACACACTTAGCAGTCATTTCACACCTGCTGTACAAGAACCGAGGACAAACTGGCTGCAAATAAATGCACCCAGAGAAGTTGATTCTCCGTGTTGAATGATTAAGTAGCCGAAACAGATGTGACATAACAGCGCTTAAACTGCAAAATGACATCCTCCTTTTCTTCCTCTGCTAGAGCTTCATTTGTGAAGGTGTCAACACTTGAGCTTATATAGGCAAAAGTAAACAATTATGGTATACTATGTAATGTGTGAAAAGCACGGTAACAAACTACCTTTTGTTTAAATATGTGATTTATCATACATTCATACCTTTTCATGACTGTTCCACACAAACGGTAACAAACTATGTAATGTGTTCCACACAAAATTCACGACTGTTCATCTACCATTTATTTGTTTGAAGAAAGAATTTTCTTGCTATTGTTCTTGGTTTCTTATGGAGAGAAAACATCTTACCTGATAATTTGACAATTTGGAACTGAGAACTGTATGTGGTCAGTAGTCATATTGATTCTTGAAGTCGTTGAAGATGAAAGAGTGTTTTTGGGCAAGCGATTTCTGAAAATGTGCTGTGGTTGGAAATAGTTCTATTTCCAAATCAATTTGGTTATAGAACATTGTTTTGACAAATCTTTGTTTTGAAGTGTTTACTTGGTTAAAACTTGAAACTTTTTTATTTTGCAAATCTTTTTTGCAAATGATTGGTAAGAAGGAAGGTTGTGTGTTTGTAAGAAGCTTTTGATCCAGAAAGAACAAAACATAAAATGTTCAGATCAAATAAGCTGCAGATAACAGTTAACATCTTGCCAGCTTTTTAAGTTTTCTAAAAACTGTACAGTGAAACTAGGGTTCACCTTGTCCTGGTTCCAACATTTTATATGTATTCATATGCATTATTTTTATGCTACACCCTAAGCGGAAAGTCTTGTGTCAGCTACTTACTAGTAACAAAAACATCTCCAAATCAATTCCAACCAATCCTGATTATTCATAGAGAGTTAATAGAACAATAACTGACTTTATTACCATAACTGCTAAAAGTGATGAAATGTTTTATTCCTCATATTACGTGATAGAGAACCAGCTGTTCCAGAGCCGGACTAGGTCCAACCCTATGAGGCTATGACAAACGCTTACATTTATATTGTTCTAATTAATAGACCTAAAACTGACAATGTTTTTGTATAGAAACTATAAACTTTACAGTTTGTGTACAACATATTAAGTTATTGACAAAATAATGAATTGGGATAAATAAATGAGTACAGGCAAATCACATCAACAACAACAATGACAAAATGGAATACTCAAAAAATTGATACAATATCACATTGTGTCAGCAACCTTCGAGAGAACCATCTTTCCATTTCATAGCACTTCTGAGACAATGAAGAGTGTCATAAACCTCAACTGTCTTCTGGGAGGATGAATCCCCTGAAAAGAAGAGTTCAGTCCTATCTTTCACCTCAATCCAACTGCACCCACCAATCTTCTTCAACCCTTTCTGCTTCATCTCTACCCTCAGTCTCGCCGCCTTCTCTTTTATCCCACATTCCCCATACATATTCATCAACTGAACATAATTGCTACCCCTTCTTGCTTCCATCTCCAGTAGGTGCTGGGCAGCCAAATCCCCAAGCTCTAAATTGGAATGGACCCGACAAGCTGATAATAAACATAACCAGACACTTGGGTTGGGTGCCACAGACATTTTCAGTATGACGTTATGGGCCTCGTCCAGACGTCCAGCACGGCCTAACAGGTCCACAATATTAACATAATGATCCGTTTGTGGTTCAACTCTATGCTCTGTCATTAACTGAAAAAGTTTCAGGCCTTCATCGACCAGCCCGGAATGGTTGCAAGCAGAGATTAAGGAAAGGAAGGTTACATGATCTGGTGTGGTCCCTGATGTTAACATTTCATTGAACGAGTTGATAGCTTTAAACCACTCTCCATGGGACCCATATCCGGAAATCATTGAATTCCACGCAATCAAGCTTTTCACAGACATTTTATCAAACAGACGTTCTGCATACTTCAGGCATCCGCTTTTGATGTACATATCAATCAAAGAATTTTCCACTTGATTATCTGCTTGAATCCCATATCTTATTAGGTAGCCATGGAGAGCCTTTCCTTTAAGTAAAACTGCCATAGATGAAACTGCAGTTAATGCATTAGTAATTGAAACTGCATCTGGGATTAACCCATGCTGCATCATTCGAGATAGAACACAAACAGACGATTCGAGATGGCCATTTTGAGAATAACATGACATCAAAGAGTTCCAAACCACCAAGTTCTTGTTGGAGATTCCAAAAAAAATGGTTTCAACCACCTCAGGTTGACCGGATCTGGAATAAACATCCATCAAAGAACTAGCCACAAAAGCATCTGATTCCAGCCCATGCTTAACGGTGAGCCCAAAGAGAGAATAACCTAATTCTTTACTTCCGATCCCAACACCTGCATTTATAACAATTGCCAGTATATTTGAGTCCAGCTTTAGGTAAGAACTCAGCATTTGTTTGAACAAACCAACTGACTCTTCATATTTTCCATTTTGATGAAAACCAGATATCATGGCACCCCAAGCAATCACATCTTTTTCCTCCATTGTACTGAAAACGTTAACTGCAGCATCTACTTCACCACATTTTACATACATAGTCATCAACGCACTTTGGACTTCAAGATTGGTTTGCACCGGTCTTTTGATGAGTTCAGCATGGATTGATGTACCAAAATAATAAAAACCAACAATGCCACACGAAGTTAAAATGTTTGATATTGTGAACGAATCAGAGGAAACTGCCATTATTTTCATTTGGTTGTAAGTGATGAAAGACTCACCAACCCATCCATTGCCTACATAAGCTGAAACCATAGCATTCCACGTTTCAATCCCCTTTAGCATTACAGAATTGAAAACATTCTCCGCATCCTGAATTAGTCCACATTTTGCATACATGGTTAATAGAGAGGTGTGAACGTACTGATCAGAGTCAAATCCCATCTTCACAACGTCCGTATGGAGCTGCCTGGCAAACTCAAAACCTTCGCCCTCACAACAGGCTATCAATGCATTGCAGCATGTACTTGGCATCACTTCATAATTCTTTTCCCTCAATAACAAATATAACTCCAAGCTCCTAGTCCACAACCCATTTCCACAAAAGCCACTTATCATTGCATTCCATATAACAATATTGTTCTTAAATTCCTGGCTCTCAAACACAAACCAAGCATCCATTACCCTTCCATAATTGAAGTACATATCAATCAGAGTCGTCACAATGAAAGGGTCTCCCTCAAACGAATTTCTAATCACATATCCGTGAATTTCCTTTCCAGACAAGAGCCTAGATGACACTCCAAGAAGAATGCTGAGAGTATATCCATCAGGCTTGATCCGTAAGGCCTGCATTTGGCGAAACTGAGCTATGCAGTCAATAGGGAGCCCATTCTTGAAGTACCCATCAATCATGGCGTTCCATAAAGTCACGTCTTGGCTAAAACCTTCCAAGTCGGAAATTTTATCAAACACCTGGTCTGCATCGCATATCGACCCACATTTGACATACATATTGATAAGAGAAGTGGCAATGTAAGCGTCGAACTGCAAACCCATTGCAATTATCGTGGCGTGTATGGCTTTTCCGATGCTGAGGCTGCGCAGGGAAGCGCATGCTTTGAGGACAGACGGGAAAGTGAGTTTGGAAGTAGCAAGAGGTTTTTTGGAGTAGCATTGCAAAGCTTCGAAAAAATGGCCTTTTTTCACAAATTCTTGTATATCGGAGGAGTAAAGATGTGACGAGGAATGAATTTGCTTCACTGTTGAGATTAATGGCCGTAGTTGCATAGCATAAGTTTGTTTTTTCAAAGAAACTGCATTGTCCGAATTGGGATAGATTTGGGAAGGGGTTGCTTTGTGCACCCCAAAATTGCTTAATGTAACCATGCCTAGACAAATTTGGCCTTCTTAATTATTAATTAAAATTAGGTAAAATTAAAAAGTGAATTGGAATTGCTTTGGACGCCCTCCTCAACTCCACACGCTCAGCTCCCTCCTCCTTTCTCTCTTGTTCATATGAAGTTTGCATTAAATATACATCCAATTAAATGGTGTCATGTGGCAAGTAACTCTTTTTTTATAAAATGTCATAACTTTTTCATTTTTGCTCCAATTTTTATAAAAATTATACCAAATTAAATATCTTTTTATGATCTTTCATATGACATCAATATTATATATGTAATTTTTTTAAAAAAATCTGGTCAATTTTCGTGAAAGGTCAGATCTGATTCTATTTGTTTGAATCTATGTGGTTCGAAATCAGTTCAATTAAAAACATCCTAAATACCATTCACACCATAAATCTAGTCATGTAACATATGCGACCGTAATGTGGAATCAACATGGTGGTGATGGAGTTGTAAAAGGCGGGGCCTCCACGTTTGAAATTAGTCAAGCAAATAAAAAATAAAGATAATTAGTTTACTAGAGTTAACAATGTTACTTATTCAATTATATAATCTAATTTAGAACTTCCAAAAAAAATATAATATGAAGTATAGAATTGCGCAAAGTTAAAAACAAAACATTTATGTTTTTAATTTTATAATATATAAAGTTTAAATCAATCATCCAATACAATTGTAACGGGGTCTGTTATAACATTACGACATTCTATAAAATGTTTAATTCGATGAAGAAGTGGAGTATCCCATCCTGTAACACTAGCGTCGTGATAGTAAGACCATGTCAAAATCATCGGTGGCAACGGAGCATTGTCGTCAAGCCAAATCTGTGCATCAAGAGAAGTTATCATTTTATGCATATCATATGGTAATGTGAAAATAAAAAAAGGTAATGTGAAAATAAAATGGAACTATAAAATATTATTTGCTTACAGCTATGTAGTGTTGTTGGGAATGAAGCCGAGCAATGCAAAAAATTGTCTTCGGAGGACTACTACCAGGAGGAGCGATCATGGGCAAACAAGTGACTGGTTCGTGGAGGTCAAGATGCACTAAAATAACCTGGTATAACGTTGCAAAGATCAGCCCTGTGTGCGGCATGTGTATTATCCAATGCCGTGGTGGTGCAGGACTGATGTAGTAGTCTATTTGCTCCCGCAAGTCATCAATAGTGTCAAGAAGGCATATAGGATCATACAACCCACGATGACGATCTAGTTCTTCCACTAACTCTCTTCTAACTCTAACCCATTCGTTTTCTCCCCATCCTAAAAGCTCTGCAAATGAGCGATATCCGCAATGTCCATCTCCAATAACGTTCACAACTTTACTAATATGCTCAAGCATGAATGTCTCAACATCATTACCGAAATTAAATTGCATTCGATTTTGATTCCCTTTACTATCCTTGCCACGTCCACGAGACCCATGATGTGATATGGTACTTTTGGATTTTTTGTATTTTTTCTCAGTGTACTCCCACGCGCTTGGGTCTCGAGTGGTTGATTTTTTTTGGGGCCTTCCCTTCGTTTCATGAATCGGTGGCTCTTTCATAGTATTAAGTTTTGGATTTTTCATCTCATTCCATTTTGCATGAAGTCTTTTTTTTTGTTGTGCTGACATACGACCTGATTGAAACTCATCAACTATTGTTTTTAGGACCACATCATCAACACTTATATCATCTGCCTTGTCATTCTCTTGTTCCTTATTTACATACCATTCAACTTTTCTCCAAAATTCATGTACCATTGATGGATGTAGTGGACGATTATCACGAATACAAGTTGCTAGCTCGTGTGGACATGGTAAACCATAACACTCCCTCCACCAATAGTCATTGCATGTTGGATCATATTTTCCTTCTATGACCTCATCATGCATCCTTATTAACTCCTTCATGCACTCATTTGACACCATGTACTGAAGCTGACTAAGTATCGGCATCGTATCCAATACCGTTGGAATGGTGCAGCGTGACAACTCTAAAGATCCCTTCACTTCATCCAACTGATCATTCAGTAAGTTGTTTATCTCCGCAAAAACATTGTCAAACCCCTTAAAAGATGTGGCTAATTGTACCTTTAACATTGCATGTGCAGATTCCACCCTGTAGCACAAAAAGTTAATGAAATAAAACTAAATAAATTATTCATATTTTTTATAAAATATCGATTTACCTATTAGTAGTTCTTGTGCCAAAATGCATGACATGGTCGGTCCACACTCTCACTAAACGATCTTTGTACGGGTCTAACCAATTTTCAGTAAGATATCTCATCAGGCCCCAACTGTTCTTCCATTTCGATCTCATATGTTCCAACTGCTCCTCATATTGTTCAACAGTGGTTGAACTAAACAACTTCATGCATCCTTTTGTAAAGGATGTTTGAACCGTCTTCATGTTGCTCAATTTTAAAGCTTTATCTTCTATGTTACGCTTGACATGCACCATGCACAATAAATGCTTGGATTCTGGGAAAACTTCACTGAGTGCTTTTATCAAACCTAACTCTCGGTCAGTCACAATGGCTAATGGTGAACGAGGACATATTACCTTTAATTCATTTAAGATCCACATGTAATGTTCTGCGCTTTCGGCTCCCATCCACGCAAATGCAACAGAGAATGTCTTCAACGTACATGTAAATCTCACTATTTCTAGAAACGGCATCTTGTATCTGTCATAATTATCAAGTATGTTACATGTATATATATATATATATATATATATCATTTGCACGAATGAATAATTATAATTTAAATGAAAATTGTTTACCTGTTTGTCTTGTATGTTGTGTCCATTATGAGAACATAAGGAAAAAGGCACAATAATTGTAGTGAATCTCGATGCGCGAATATCATGTCATGTAAATCTTCACTCCCTGGTACTAACCTATTAGCCTCAAAGTAATCATATTTTGAAATCAAATGAAGTAATTGTTGCATGACAGTACGTCCATCCTTCCATTCCTTCTTAAGCTTACATCTTGCGTTATACACCTGCTTTCTAGATGTAACATTATTGGAGTTCGCCATTTTTAAACTTTGGAGAATTGGCTTAGGCTTGCACCCCGCCTCTGATAAGTCTCTCACCAAAGATATCTCATGCTTTGTCAATTTGCCAGCAAATGCGTGACCCAATAAGCTCGTTGGAATACCGTGGTTATGAAATCCACAATTAACCTGCAATTGCCATAAATTCCGCTCCACTTCCCTCCCATATAATGCAAAAGGGCAATCACTTTTCTTTGTTCTCGATGCTTTCTTTCCTTTGTCTTGTTGCACCCCTTGTGCTTTGACTTTTTTTGCAGTTCGATACTTACCGAATTTTTCACACGCGAGAAGTACATTACCAAGTTTTTGGGAATTACTTGGCCTCGATTTTGCAATAGTTAATATCATGTTTCTCTTTTGGGCCTCTACTCTAGCCCAATTAATCATAGACTCACGATCCGTCCAAGTTTTATTAGTTTGAAAGTCTTCCGAAAAATTATGTGAAGTGAATGGTTGTGCTTCTTCAACTCGATAAAAAATTAATTTTTCTTCGACACGAGTCAAGTTGTCATCGTGAAAAACAAGCCCGATGTACACGTCACTATCATCCTGCATGTATCATACGAGTAATTGATAAAAGCAAATTAAGTGAGATAATGTACTACAATTCAAGCAAATTGCTTTTACATTTAAACTTTTACATTGGGTGATTAGGCCGATTAGTCCTCTACAGTTAAGACCGGCTAGGCTGACTAGGTCAATTCGTAGTATTAAATTAACATTCTAAAATATAGATGATTATATTTAGTAAGACACATTAATTTATAAATATACTACCATTAATGATGTTTTTAATTGAATTAAAACTATCTAGCCTAATCAAATATGGTATGATCTCATTCGATTTGATCTGTTTAAGTTTGGTCTGGTCTAGTGTAAACTCCATGTAGCGAGTTTCTGACCTGTTTACCCCAGGCTTGCCTCAGCCCCCCCCCCCCCCCCCCCCCCCCCCCCCCCGAATTGATATTTTATGGAAAACCTCTAAAAATAATAACTACAATATACTTTCTCGACTTTCAAGAACATAAAAAGTCGAGAAAGTATTTAGATTCATTTAGATTCATCTAATTCTAATCTGATTTGATCTAATCTAGTACATTGTTACTAATATTTAAGTCGGATATACTATAGTCTGCTATGAGACAAAACGGGATGAAGTGAAAATATTCATTATAGTAAAAAATTTAAACGTGATTAATAAATTACTTTGTTTGTATTTAATATGAAAAAAATTTAGGCAAATAAAGATGTACTACCTCCGTTTTCTTTTAAAAATTGATCACAAATAAAAAGTTTATATGATCACCTATATATTACCGAATATTGTATGCGATAAACTTAATGAAACAGATCAAAAATAAAAATTGAAATACAAATAGAGTTGAAGATGAAGTGATTAATATAAATTAAGATAAATAAATACCTCATAAGAATGAAAGTCAAGAGTACAATTTTCTAGACAATCTTCATATTCATCATTCATTGTATAAGAAGATAATATTATGTGGTAGGTATGTTGAAATTTGTTATCTATGAGAGCATTATACTATGTTACAAATATTTATATATTTGATGGTACTTGAAATTTGTTATCTATTAGGATTGTGAGTATATTAAAGGTAATTATTTTTTAGAAAGAAGTTAAACAAAAGGTGTATGAGTGTGTTGCTTTTTTTAATTGATACGGGTAAAGCTTTTTTTAATTGATACCAGTAAAGCCTAAAGCCTTATCATTCAATTTTAGGAAAGGGGCAGATTTGATAGGACTGCAGGAGGTGTAGTATCGTGATAGGATTCGATTACCAAAAAAATCCAAATTGCGCTTCAGTGTCGTGAGCTTGATTGCAGGAGGACAAATCAGTCCAGTCATGGATAAAAGAAGGTGCGCTTAGTAATAAAGGAGGTGCGCAAAGGACGTCCGATTTGGGAAGTTAGACATCAGCTAATACAAGCAAGAGCCCGTTTGTGCAACTTTTTTAGATTTATTAGGCTTTTTCACCAAACACGTAATTGGTTGAAATTAATGTGAAAGATCATTTTAGTTATTTTTCATATAAGTTTTTATTTGATTAATTAATATCAGATATTTTGAATATAATTTTTTCATAAATCAGCGGAATCAGCCAATACAGCCAATACAGACAGAACTTCATAAATTTTAGTAGAATCAGGCAATTCAACCAATTTCAGTGTTACCAAACGAACTCCAAATAAGCTCTAACAACTTTTAAAAAATTTATCTCCAACCAGACGAGGTATATAAAATTGTTTGGAAATCAAGTGATATCGTGAACGGAAACATTTTAATACTTGGGTACCAAAATACATTATTATCTTTTAGTAATGAAATTATGGTACCATTTACTCCCTTCATCCCGTTGGAAGGTTCCCATAGCAAAACGACACGGTTATTTAGACAATAATTAAATAAAGTATTTCGAGTGTATTTTGAGAAATAATTTTAATGGGTATATATTATAATGTAGTTAGTATTGATAACTGTGATGTTATAAATGTATTATTTTTAATATTTAATGATTAATTTGTCACTTAAAATTGTTAATTGTTTCCTAAAATGGAAATAAGAACATTCTAATGGGACGTCCAAAAAAGGAAAGTGAGAACCTTCTAATGGGACGGAGGAGTATTATTTTATCCCCTTGATTTACATAATGAAGCTGACTCTGAAACTAAGAAAACCATCTGTAATTTGTGAGTAGAAAAAATGTAGAAAGATCACCCTAATTGGATGTATGGTAGCTCTATTTTTCCTTTTACTCCAGGTCCCCTAACAGTAAGGATAAACTCAAGGGATAATGAGCAAACACAAAGAATGATTGTTTGCTATCTAAAAGTGAAATCATTGATAAACAGAGTTTATCATAGGATTATAGTAAAAAATTGATGGGTGATCAATGCTGTCATGGTGGTTGTTGTTAGCCTCTGCATTGCATCAATTGGCCTCTTAACCTCTTCACATCAGCCTGTTTGAGAGGCTTTAACATGAACATTTGGGCTCCTTCCTCCAAGCATCTACATTCATTCATCCAGTCACATTTTTTTGGTTATAAACAATTTCATATAAAAGAATACAAATTGGGTAAATAATGCATTATCAACTTCAAAGTATGAAAGTTCTCACTCATTGATCCGAGTCGGTATGTTTTCGGATGACATGATCACAACAGGTATGTCTCTCATATTTGATGATTCCTGGTTTCACCATTATTTTGATCCATTAAAGAATTTGATAAGTGTGGTTTAGTCTAAGTGTCTTGTAACTCAATACTTTGGACTGAATTAACTAATAGATTGAATGATTATTTTTATTTAGCCACTACCTTGATTTTCTTGAGAAGTTCATAACCTGTCATTTCTGGCATGCAGTAATCTGTAATGATCATATTCACCTTTGATCCCTGCATAAAATTAAGTGCAAGGGAGGTTTAATGGAGGAAATGTGATGAAATTAATATGGTATGTTTTGGAATTTCAAGATACATAGAAAATGGTTTCATAAGTTGGCTGACATTGATATTTTGATGGTTGTGTTGTGGATCATCTCCCAAACCCAAATACTCCAACGCTCTCAACCCATTCTCTGCAGTAGTCACTGAAAGCAAGCCCAACTTTTATTACATACTCTCCATGATAATGTGCAAACACTCGAGTCTCAAATATTTACGAAAAAATATCCAAAATAAATATGCTTTTAAGTGCCATGATTGCAATAGCTAGATGCCCAGTGGGTGTCCCACAAAGGAAAAACTTTTTTGTACACACTTTTACTGTTTACACACTTTTACACACATTTATGAAGGTTTTTTGTCTGTGAGTACATTTTTACACACATTTGTTAAGGTTTTTTTTGTCTGTGAGTACATTTTTACAGTGTACTTACAGACAAAACAAAGCTTTCACAGACGTGTGTAAAAGTGTGTAAACAGTAAAGTGTGTACACGAAGAATTGTTGCACATATATAACATTCCCTTCCAACAAAAGTTAAACTTCAAACAATTATTTTGACTCAAAAATTAATTACTCATTGTACTCCCTCCGTCCCAAAAATAATTACTCATTATACTCAAGAATTGTTCGTCAAATTGACTTGTCTTGATCAATGACACTCAACTTTGATTAATGATATTTTTTAATACGAAATTAGTTTGAGAATGAAAATTATATCAAAATATTCCTTATTCAAAATATTTTCATAAAAGTATAAAATTTATAAATTATATGCAAATACAATAACTAAAATCATTATCCAAAGTTCGACATCAATATTGACCAAGAAAAGTCAATATGGTAAACCTTTTCGGGACGGAGGTAGTATAAAATAAGAAGAAAAAATGGACATGAATGATTTGTTTGAAATATTCAAAGTATTAATTTTCTACGAATAATCCCATCTATTGAAAAAAATCTCAAAATACTCCAGTGACTTATAATAACCCGTAAATTGCTTATAATATTTACGAGCCAATGGAGCATTTTGAGAAGTTTTTTCAATAGTTGGGATTATTTTGAAATAATCGATACTTTGAATTGTTTTAAGTGGATCACCGATACTTAGGATTATTCTTGTCCATTTTCCAAATAAGAATTAAAAAAAGACTCAAGTGGAGTATGTGACTAGTGTCTTGAAAACTTCTAGAGACCTTGAGCATTTCTTGAAACCAAAAAAAAAGAGAGACAAGAACTACATATGAGGATATGCATATATATAGTTATATACGTACCTTTGCAAGATGAGGTCTTGAGAAGTCTTTCAACAATCATACGATCAACCAAATTGTCATCAACGGCTAGCACATGTGGAGAAGACAATTCATGATCTTCTTCCTCTTTCTCACCACCATTCTTTGAAGAAGACAAACAAATAGTAGCCGCCATTTCTCTTTTCTCACCACAAGAAATATGCAAATGAAATCTTGAGTAGGCGGGCAGGGATAGATGGTATTTAAAGATAAAAGATGGGAAAGAAATCAAGAAAGTAGAGAAAATCAAAGCAAAGGTTGATTTTTTGTCTTTCGTGAACATCTTTTTGGAATTTCCTATTCTTGATTCGATGCATTTCGGCCTCAATCCTCCAACCCGAATCTACTCTCATTCTAAAAGTAGTGAACACAATATTAAATATTTTTTATCGAGTATAAGCGCGGCAACACTGTCTGCGCTTATAAAATATTTTTTATTGAGTATGGCTCACTAAACTGTCTGTGCATCTTTGTTATGGAGCAGCAGTCAGTCCATGCAATTTTGGACGCGATCTTCACTATGGGTCATCCTGAAACAGTCTCTCTGTGCTTTAGTACAGGGGTAAGACTGCGTACATCCGACCCCCACTTACTCCACCGTAGGTGGGAGCCTTTGCGGCACTGGGGTAAATGAAAATGAATGAGTATAAGCGCGACAACAATTTTGTAAATACGAGATTTTTCACACAGCAAAGAAGTGTACTTGTTATTCCGACACAAAATAAAAGTTATTCCCTCATACCAAAATGAATTTTAACACTCTTCTTTAATTGTTGAACCTAAAATGATTCGACTTTCATTTTGGGACGGAGGAATTACGTATTTTCTTATTCGGTCGTCCAAATTAAATATCACGTTTCCTTTTATTTCATATTTTATATTTTCTTTTATTTAAATATGCTACTTTGTCATTGCAATTTTTTCACTGCTACAATAAAAGAATGTGATGATTTAATTTAATTCTTTTTAATTTCTTAATTTATATGCTCAAATGTTTTATAACTTTTACTTTGAGACATGGAAATGTAGTTGTGTCATCCCTAAAATTTAAATAATATAAAATAAATTGATATTATTAATCTTAATCAAATAAAATTCTTAGAATATAAAACCTAAAATAATAAAAGTATATTACAATGAAAATTTAAAATATACACACCAATATTAATACATACAGAGAAGTAGAAGCATCCGCTCTTGCCGCCGGCCGCCATCTTTGCCGGAGAAGAAGAAAACGAAGCAGAAGATATACCGGACTTGACTCCATCGCTAGGACGACCTACTGCAGGTCCGTAGAAGTAGAAGCATCCGCTCTTGCTGCCAGAAGAAGTTGCCGCGTGGAAGGAAGCCTGCGTCGTCTCCGGTCGTCCCTTCGTAAGGAAGAAGACGTACATAATACTCAAGTACGTTCGTTTTTGTTTAATATAAATGGGCTGGAGTCTAGTTTGAATTATGTAACTGGACACTTAATTACTTGGTATTAAACATAAGCTATCTCAAAATATTAAACCATATGGGTTAGTTAATAATAATAACAGTAACTCTAATACGGGATAATAAGCATAGATACAGAGTATAGTAATAATGATTTGCAATTCTAACAAATTAGGAAGTAATATATTTTATTAATTGGTCAAAATCAGTCCCCTTTTCCAATTAGCCTAAGCCCCTATATATACATATGATAACAAGAGGTTAAGTAGAGCCCTTAGCCCATATTTACAATTAGGAAGGCCCAATTTAATCTAATACCCCCCCTCAAGTTGGAGCATGGGGATCAAACATGCCTAACTTGCGCCGTAAATGACTAAATTGTCGTTGTTCGAGTGCCTTCGTAAAGATGTCTGCTAACTGATCAGTAGTAGAAACATGTTGGGCCGAGATCATCCCTGCTTGCAGTGCGTCACGGACATAATGACAATCCACTTCAATGTGCTTGGTGCGTTCATGGAAAACATGATTATGTGCGATATGCAGAGCAGAACGACTGTCACAGTGTAAGGGAATGGGCCTCGGATGAGCAACACCGAGGGTGAGAAGAAGACCTTTCACCCACTTTAATTCTGCAGTAATGGCCGCCATCGAGCGATATTCAGCTTCAGTGGAAGATCGAGACACAGTGTGTTGTTTCTTGGTCTTCCAGGAAACAGGTGAGCCTCCAAGAAAAACTAACCATCCAGACAGAGATCGTCTAGTAAGCGGACAGCTAGCCCAATCAGAATCACACCAGCCTGATAGACCCAAATTAGAGGAGGACCTCAAAAGAATTCCTTGTCCGGGAGAGCCTTTGGGATATCTGACAACTCGTAGAGCCGCAGCCCAGTGTTCTCGTCGCGGGGCCTGCATAAACTGAGATAAAATATGCACGGAATATGCCAGATCCGGCCGAGTAAAAGATAAATATATTAGACGACCAACAAGACGTCGATAGGATTCTGGATCAGTCAATAAGTCACCCGTAGCAAGGCCCAAAGCATGATTCTGTTCCATGGGAAAGGAAGAGGGCTTAGCTCCAAGAAGACCTGCCTCAGATATAATATCCAATATATATTTGCGTTGACAAAGAAAAATGCCATCAGCTCCTCGAGCGACTTCAATGCCAAGAAAATATTTAAGAACCCCGAGATCTTTCATGTGAAAACAGGAGTGCAAATAAATTTTAAATTTAGACAAAGCCGCAGAACTATTTCCCGCAATAATCAGATCATCCACGTATATAAGCACATGTATCCGCACATCATCTTTGCGCAAAGTAAACAAGGAATAATCAGAATAAGATTGGAGAAAGCCATACTGTTTAAGCGCGGTGGCCAATTTAGCAAACCAACACCTCGGGGCCTGGCGAAGACCATACAAAGACTTGCGCAGACGGCAAACCAGCCCACGTTGAGATGAAGAAAATCCTGGTGGAGGACGCATGTAGACCTCCTCAGCCAGGTCGCCATGGAGAAAGGCATTATGGACATCCATTTGATGTATCTCCCAGTTGCGAGCAGAGGCAACAGCCAAAAGTAATCGTACTGTCACCATTTTGGCCACGGGAGCAAATGTTTCTGTATAATCGATACCTGCCTCCTGATGATTCCCAAAGACAACCAACCGTGCCTTGAGACGTTCAATGGTGCCATCGGATTTATATTTAATTTTGTAGACCCGTTTACATCCTAAGGCCCTTTTGTCATGGGGAAGTGGCACCATGTCCCATGTGTGATTATTTTCAAGAGCTTGGATTTCATTTTTCATGGCGGAACGCCAGCCATCATCAGTCATAGCTTCCTTGAAGGAACGGGGTTCATTTCCTGCAAGAATAGCTCCAAGAAATATGCGGTGACAAACAGAATACTTATCACAGGAAACGTAATGGCTAATAGGATACCGCGTACCTGAAGAGCTGTCGGAGAGCGAGGACGGAGATGGGCTTAAGTGAGCAACATAATCTCGAAGTAATACTGATGGTCGCTTAGACCGCATACCGCGACCAAGAGTCATGCTGTCAGACGTTGCCACGGCCGAACTAGAACCTGTATCATGAGTTGTCTCATTGGCAGAATGTTCTGGAGTGACATCATCAAAAACAATAGGTGCAGCAGGTTCCGTTACTGAGGGAGAGACCTTAGAGACCTCTGAGAATGGAAAAACATCTTCATGAAACTGTACATCACGTGATGCAAAAATATCTCCCGTAGCATGGTCATACATTTTCCACCCTTTCTTGCCGGTAGGATATCCAATAAAAACACATTTTCTGCTACGAGAAGAAAATTTATCACCACCTGTATTTGTATTTCGAGCAAAGGCTAAACACCCAAACACCCGGAGCTGATGAAAATCAGGTGTTTTGCCGGTAAGCACCTCATATGGTGTTTTTCCTTGTAGAATACCCGAGGGTGTACGATTAATAAGATGCACCGCTGTGAGTACACACTCACCCCACAATAAAATAGGAATATTTGCCTGAAACATCAGTGCACGGGCCACGTTCAAAATATGACGATGCTTACGTTCCACCCGGCCATTTTGTTGAGGGGTATGAACGCAAGATGTCTGGAACATAATGCCATGGTCCTCAAAATATGGCAACAGACATCTGAATTCAGTGCCATTATCACTACGTACAATTTTAACAGACACGTCAAATTGTTTTTCAACAGTGGCAATATAAGTAAGGAACGACCGATAAACTTCCCTTTTGTCACGCAGCAAATACACCCACACAGCCCGAGAATAATCATCAACCAATGTCATAAAATAAACGGCATCACAAGTAGAAGGGGTTTTATAAGGACCCCACAAATCACAGTGAATAAGTTCCAAAATTCTACTTGCTTTATTACTACTGATGGGAAAAGAATCACGCACTTGCTTGGCTTGTGGACACACCTCACAAGGTTTATTCAAACGTTTGGTAGAAGTAGTACTAATAATAGGCAATAATTTAATCACACGATCAGACGGGTGCCCCGAGCGTCGATGCCACAGTTCGAACTCAGGCAATTCTGACGTGTGGACAGCATGCAACATAGGAACCTTCCGGAAATAATAAAGCCCATCTCGTCTCTCACCGGCTCCAATCAGGCTCCTCGAGTGACGGTCCTGTATGGCACAAAACGAATCAGTGAAAGTAACTAAACAAGTAGATTGATCAATCAGTTGTGATACCGAGATTAAATGACATTTTAATCCTGGCACATAAAGCACATGTTCCAAAATGAATTGTTCAGAAAAACAAACACGGCCCTCCAAGACAGCCGCAACTGCTCGCCCGTCTGGCAGTCCCACCATACGTGTACAAGTACGGGTTCTATTAGTCAAACAAGTAATATCACCTGTAACGTGATGGGATGCCCCTGTATTAATAATCCAATCATACTTACCCGCCATACGATCAGATGAACGAGTTTCAGCATCAATTAAACTAAGCAAAGCTTGAACCTGCTCTTGGTTTAACGAAGGCAGTCCGGTCACCCCAGCCGCAGAAGATGAACCTTCACCGGTTGTGATAACGGCATGTGTCCTGACCCCCCCTTCGCGGCCAGCAACTCCATTACTTGACCGGTTCCGTTCCTCCCACCAATCTGGATAACCCAGCAACTTGAAGCAGGACCCGACATCGTGTCCTTTCTTCTTGCAGTGGGTACACATCAGTTTTGTTCGGTCTAC